CAGAGAGAGAGCAGCCCTGCCTCACCCCTCTCTGGATCTCGAATGGTGCACTCAGCCCGCTGTTAATTTTCAGAACACTCGCAATGTCACTGTAGAGAACCCGGACCATGGCTATGAACCCAGGGTTGAACCCAAAGGCAGCCAGAGTCTGCCACAGGTACTGGTGTTCAACCCGGTCAAAAGCCTTTTCCTGATCTATGGAAATAAGACCAGTCTCTATACCCAATGACCTGGAGAGCTCCAAAATGTCTCGAATTAAAGTGACGTTGTCACTGATGAGCCTGCCAGGCACACAGTAGGTCTGGTCAGGGTGGATGATGGACGCCATCACCTCCCTCAGTCTGAGGGTCAGAGCCTTGGACAGGATTTTATAATCCGTGCACAGCAGGGAGACTGGTCTCCAGTTTTTCAGCTCCTGCAGGTCTCCCTTCTTGGGCAGCAGGGTGATGACGGCCCTCCTGCAGCTCAGAGGCAGCCTGCCGGTCCTCAGACTGTCTGTCACGACCTCTAGCAGGTCTGGTCCTATGATGGACCAGAAAGACTTGTAAAAGTCAGCAGGAAGGCCGTCTATGCCTGGAGCTCTGCCGCTCTGCAGGCTCATGGTGGCTGCGTGGAGCTCCTGCAGCGTCACCTCTGCTGCCAGTCTGCTGTTGTCAGCCTTGCTGACCTGAGGGAGACCCGCCAGGAAGTTGCTGTGCACTTCTGGATTATTCGACCACTCACTCTTAAAAAGGTTTCTGTAGAAACCGGCAGCAAACTTCCTGATCTCAGACGAGTCTGAGACTTCGGAGCCGCTACCCGTCCGTAAACAGTGAATGGTCTTCCTTTGTCCATTTTTCCGCTCCAACCCAAAGAAGAAGCGAGATGGGGCGTCCATCTGTGTGATGTTCATGAAACGAGACCTGACCAGAGCCCCCTGTGCTGAGACGCCTAGCAGGTTGGCTAATGCCGACTTTTTGGACTTGAGGGAGTCTAAAAGCCCTCGATTTGTTGTAGAGTCTGCAGTAGTCTGCAGCTCTACCACCTGTGACTCCAGGTCTTTAATGGACCGAGCTAAGTCTGTAGTGACACCGCGAGTGAACTGCTGGCTGAGCTGTTTTATCTGGGCTTTCCCAAAATCCCACCACTGTTGTATGTTAGTGAAGGCAGGCCTGCTCTCTCTGTGGGATTCCCTAAAAAACCTAAAAGCAGTTCTAAAAGCCTGGTCAGATAAAAGGCCCGTGTTAAAATGCCAATAGGCGCTCTTTAAACGAATGTTTTTAATAAAAACACGACAGGAGACTAAAAAATGATCCGTAAAACCAACTGGCAGCATTAAACACCTTTTAAAAATGTTTAAATGGTGTTTAAAAGAGTAAAAACGGTCCAGTCTGGCTAGAGTTAAAACCCCCTCCCTACTGTGACTCCAGGTGAACTGTCTTTGCTGACTGTTAAAAACCCTCCACACATCACTCAGCTCCTGACTCTCTGTCAGCCGCCGAAGTGTGTGTGATGAGGGTGGGTGTGGTTCAGGATGGTTCCTGTCCAGGGATGGATCAACTGTGCAGTTAAAATCTCCCCCTAAAAACATAAAACCATCGTTCTCACAGTCCCTAACACAGTCCTTTAAAATGTTTAAAAATGCTATTCGCTCCACAGCATTGGTAGGAGCGTAGACATTTAAAAACACACATTTGACCTTCTCAAAGACAGCTTTTACCTTCAATAAAACACCTGGGATGATCTCATGGACGGTAAAAGAAAAGGGTAAAAAACTCTGTGCAAATAAAATCCCCACCCCTCCGCTCAGACTGGACTTATGGCTTAAAACTACCTCCCCGTTAAAAGCCCTCTTCCAGTCACTCTCATTATCTAAGCTGCTGTGGGTTTCTTGGACAAAAATGATATCTATTTTTTTAGTCTCCATTAATTTAAAAAGAGCGGCGCGTTTAAAATCAGCCCTGGCCCCGTTCAGGTTTAAGGTGCTGATATTAAAATCACACATGGATAAAAAATAAAAAACACTCAGGAGAACAGTCAGTAAAGGGTAAAAGCATCTAAAACTCATCTTCATCGCTGATGAATTGCTCTTTTACCCTCCCTAAAACCTTTTTGAGTCTGAAGACCTCTTGTTCTGTTAAAACCTCCTCCCCATGGCTCTTCCTGGTGAGGGGTCTGGCAGACTTCATAAAAGAGCGCAGGTCTGGGTAATACTCTTTTATATTGGGCTGCCTGGAGCCTTTAATCTGTGCCAGGAAGGTTTTTATCTGAGCCGGGGAGTACGGCGACTGAGAGTCTTGTGTAAAAGAGTCTTGTGACTCTGGGGTCTTCCTCATGATCGGTTTTCTCGTTTTTTTGTTCTTTTTAACAGTCACAATATTTTTCCTTTTTTGAGACACTTTGAGATGTTCATCATCAGACATGTCCTCCTCCATAAAATCATCGTTAAGCACTTTGCTCATGCTCTCGTCTGCTGAGTCTGAGTACATGAACTCTTCTCGCTCCGAGCAGCCCTCAGCAACCGGAGGCACCGAGACTGTGGAGGGCCCCTCCTGGGCCGGACTGACCGTTTCTGCTGCTGTGACCCCGGTCACAGCAGCAACACTCAACTCTTCCCCAGCGGCGGGCGGACCCCCCCCGACGGCAGCGGCCCCATCGGCCGCAGCAGCGGGTGGACCCCCCCCGGCGGCAGCGGCCCCCGCGGCCGCAGCAGCGGGCGGAGCACCCCCGACGGCAGCGGCCCCACCGGCCGCAGCAGCGGGCGGAGCACCCCCGACGGCAGCGGCCCCGGCGGCCGCAGCAGCGGGCGGAGCACCCCCAGCAGCAGCGGCCCCCGCGGCCGCAGCAGCGGGCGGAGCACCCCCAGCAGCAGCGGCCCCCGCGGCCGCAGCAGCGGGCGGAGCACCCCCCGCAGCAGCGGCAGCCGGCCGCTGTGCTCCCTCCTTCTCCGGACAGGAGCGAATCAAGTGCCCTTCTGCACCACAACTAAAACATTTCATGGTCTCTGACGACGCAAACACAATATAAACAAATCCTTCTATTTTAAAGGAAAACGACAGGTTTAAATCATTTGTTTTGTCTTTCAGGATCATGTAAACCTGTCTCCTGTGACACACTACATGCTTAAGTTTGTGGGATTTACAGCCCAGAGATACCATTTTGATGGGTGACACCACTTGTCCGTACCTGGACAGTTCTTTCGCCAGGGTTTCGTTTTTTATAAACGGGGGAGCATTAGAAATCGTGACTTTTGTGGCCGGGCTAACGAGGGGGAGACCGGAGTAAAGGTGTCGTGAATCACTACTCCTTTCTCCACCACCTCGTTAACCAGCACCGTACTGTTTAAAAAAATTACAATCGCCCCGTTCATCCTTGAGGCAGACTTCACCGAGTCATACCCGACCACCTCTCCCACAGCCAGGCTGGCTTCCTCCACCGAGCACTGCACCGCGGGGTTCAGCTTTATCCCATGCCGGCGAGTTAGTTTTTCAAACTCCGCGGCTGCAGCCTCTGCTACCGGCATTGTGCTGTTAGCACGCCGCCCACCAAACAAAGCACTCACACACTCACACACTCAACAAACCACAACCCTCTTAACATTAAATAATAGACAAACAACTCATAAACACACTCACACCAAAAGAAAAGAGAAATAAAGTCTGAAAAACTCACAAAATTGAATCGAAGTTCGATTCGCTCTCAGCTCTCAGCACTCACACGCCATCTCACTCAGAGAGAGAGAGAGAGAGAGAGAGAGGGAGAGAGAGAGACAGAGAGAGGGAGAGAGAGAGAGAGAGAGAGAGAGAGAGAGAGGGAGAGAGAGAGACAGAGAGAGAGAGAGAGAGAGAGAGAGAGAGAGAGAGAGGGAGAGAGAGAGAGAGAGACAGAGAGAGAGAGAGAGAGAGAGAGAGAGAGAGAGAGAGAGAGAGAGAGAGACAGAGAGAGAGACAGAGACAGAGAGAGAGAGAGAGAGAGAGAGAGAAAAGACATTATCATTAAAAAGTTCTTCAGTGGGTTACTTTTGAAACTTCAGACATGTTTCAGATCAGACGGATATTCCTGTGAATCTGTATTTGTTCAGATTTAGTTTCTTCTTTATCACTTTTGTGTCAGCTGAAGTAAACAAATGTTCGGTTTCTCTGTGTGAAATCTCTCTATGCAGACGATACGACTCTGTGTCGACTCTGGACATGTCAGTGTTTAAGAACCTCGATTCTTTAGGGTTTCTTATCGGCCTCTGACTCAAATTTATGTTTTCTTCCAGACCAAGAGACCGTACTTCAAACAGACTTCTCACATTTATACTAAAAAACAGAAACCTCAGTGTACGGCTGTAAAGATCTGTTCACGTTTAGACGCTCTGTGGAGAACGGACAGTTTTAGACCAGAACACTGAACCTCTCAGCATTTGTTTGATTCTCTGATTTTTCGTCTCTGTGGCTCCGAAAACGAGGAAAACTCAGATAATGTTTTTTTAGAGGCTGAAATAAAACTTTAAAGAAAATCAGAAAATAAAAAACATTGAAAGTGAGTGAAGCAGGTTTGAGCTTCAGGACGTCAGCAGACAGATGTGATGGATGATAGAAGAAAACTATGAAGTTATTAATTTGTCATTAAAATCTTCGACTTTAACCCTTTAACTGACGTGACTCTGTGGTAAACTGAAACAGGTGTTCATATTCAGTTATCTCATAGTTATCTCAGAGTCTCGTTAATAAATCACTTTTATCTTATTTTCTCGATGACATTAGAAAAGGTGATTTTTCTTCATTCCTCTTTTTTAGTAAATGTCTGAAAATGTAAAAACAGGAAATAAATGAGAAAAACTCAGACATGTTTGGTTTCCAGCAGATATCCTCTCGTTCACTCGTCTTCTGTCTGGAGAGGGTTTGCAAACACAGCTTATAGAATTAAATCTGCTGCATGAAAAGTTCATGACTAAAACTAAAGAAACTAAAGAGGAGGTGTTGATCTGAATCTCAGTCTCACTCTCAGAGGAAACTACAGCTACAGTAAATTGATCGGATTTGGGGTTAACCAGCGCAGAGCCATCGAAGAGCCATCGAAGAGCCGTCCAGAGCAGCTTGATTTACAGTTTTATTGGCTGATTATTCAGGTCCAAACTGCTGAGTGTGGTGATGGTGCGAGAGGAGAGAGGCTGAGAGCAAAGGTTAAAACAGAGGCTGGAAGTCTGAGAGCAGAGGAATCCAGTTTAACTGATCTAATAATGTGAATCTGAGTTTAATACAGACTGGAGGATTAAAGGACGAGAGACAGGAGAGAGACACCTGTCCATCCACATGTCCTCAATATGGACCGATAATCAAACAGATCAATATATTTATCAAGAAGTATTAAAGGTGGGGTAGACAGGAATCTGTTAAAGAAGCATCTTTATTTGTCTTCTAATATCAGTCAATAGTTATTAGTTATTGATTATTTGGTAATATATCGATATCTCTGTGTTCTCTTCTGTCTGTGTCGTCAACATTTGAACATTTTTGAGCAGTCCGCTCTTTCTGACTGTAAACAAAGCCGTTCTCCACCTCCTCTAACCTGATTGGTTGTGAGGCAGACGCTGCTCCCCCGTGTCGTTCAGGAGCCCAAACAAAGTTAGCGTGCTACAATATCGGACAGTAGAAACCAACCAGAAAGTTCGGAAAATTGTCTGAATCCTCCTTTGGCCACGACTGCCGACACAAGCAAGAAAACACTCAAACATAAACAGTCAGCAAGAAAACAGTCAGCAAGAAAACAGTCAACATCAAAACAGTCAACAAAAAACAGTCAACAAGAAATCAGTCAACAAGAAAACAGTCAGCAAGAAAATGCTGCTCCCCCGTGTCGTTCAGGAGCCCAAACAAAGTTAGCGTGCTACAATATCGGACAGTAGAAACCAACCAGAAAGTTCGGAAAATTGTCTGAATCCTCCTTTGGCCACGACTGCCGACACAAGCAAGAAAACAAAGTAAATACCGGAGACTCTGGAGGAATAACGGGCGCTTAAAACGGAGGTAGACCGGACAAGAGCTAAAAAGCCGGGTCAACATAAACGATGGGGGACGCTTGGGGATCTTGGTGACCCTGTAAGCTTTCTGCTGGACAGGTAAACCGCTTTAACAAAGTAAGACAAGTGTCTGTAACAGAAGTGTTTCTTGTCAAACGGACCTGCTGTAGCGTGTTGTAGCGCCATCGCTAAACTGTCCTCCCTCGGGTCCTGGACTATGTCACTTTATCCTCGTTGTAGAAGTCCTGCAAACATTGTGTTTGCTGGTAGTCTGTTGGCATCTACAGTAGCACCAATGCTTTTGACTTTCACCTTGACTGGGCCCCATTTGTAATGATCTGAAGTATTTATCTGCATTATATCTGAATTTAATTGGAACGATACGAGCGAGCGGGAGAGAGAGAGAGATAGAGAGAGAGAGAGAGAGAGAGAGAGTGTTTCTCTGTGTTGTCTCTTTAACTCTGTGTCTCTAAAACAGTTGAAGTGTGTTTCTGCTCGATGAGGTTTCTATGAGGTGAATAAATGTTGGTTCAGTTGATCTTCAGGACGGCTGCAGCTTTAAGAACTTCTGCTTGTCGGAGTTTGAGAGTCTAAAGTTCACAGAGACGCTCCTCATCCTGGATTGTAGACAAACTGGATCCCTCCCTCCCTCGTCTCTCTTACAGCTCACTTCACTCTGCACTCTCACTTCCTTGTTCCCTCCCCTTCCTCCCTCCCCTCAGATCTACAGCCTAAAGGTTGGGTGTAACCTCCGTGTGCTGAGGTCATATCCTGCTGACTCACACCTGTTGTTGAGATCAGAGCTCAGACTAGTTTGACTTCTCAGGAAATAAAACTCAGTCAGTCGTCGTCGACAGCGAGTGTTGAAATGGCGCAGAAAGGAGTTCATCTGGACCGTGAGTCTCTCTCTTGTTCCATCTGTTTGGATCTTCTGAAGGATCCGGGGACTCTCACCTGTGGACACAGCTTCTGCATGAGCTGTATTCAATCCCACTGGGATACTGAGGATGAGAAGAAGATCTACAGCTGTCCTCAGTGCAGAGAGACCTTCATACCGAGGCCTGTCCCAATAAAAAACACCATGTTAGCAGGTTTAGTGGAGGAAGTGAAGAAGAGCGGACTCCAAGCTGCTCCTGATGGTTCCTCTGAGGCTGGACCTGAAGATGTGGCCTGTGATTTCTGCAGAGGGAGAAAACTGAAAGCTGTCAAGTCCTGTCTTCAATGTCTGGTTTCTTACTGTCAGATTCACCTCCAGCCTCATTTTGAAGTTACTCCATTAAAGAAACACAAGCTGGTGGAGCCCTCCAAGAAGCTCCAGGAGAACATCTGCTCTCGTCATGATGAGGTGATGAAGATCTTCTGCCGCACTGATCAGAAGTCCATCTGTTCTCTCTGCTGTTTGGACCAACACAAAGGTCACGACACAGTCTCAGCTGCAGCAGAAAGGACTGAGAGGCAGAAAGATCTGGAGGAGAGTCGAGGAAACATCCAGCAGAGAATCCAGGACAGAGAAGAAGATGTGAAGCTGCTCCAACAGGAGGTGGAGGCTATCAACGGCTCTGCTGATAAAGCTGTGGACCACAGCCAGGAGATCTTCATCCAGCTGATCCGTCTGATGGAGAAACGCCGCTCTGAGGTGGAGCAGCAGGTCAGATCCCAGCAGGAACGTGAAGTGAGTCGAGTCAAAGAGCTTCAGGAGAAACTGGAGCAGGAGATCACTGAGCTGAAGAGGAAAGACGCTGATCTGCAGAAGCTCTCACTCACAGAGGACCACAACCAGTTTCTGCACAGCTACCCCTCACTGTCAGAACCGGGTCAACCTGCAGACTCATCCAGGATCAACATCCGTCCTCTGAGATACTTTGAGGAGGTGACAGCAGCTGTGTCAGAGCTCAGAGAGAAACTCCAGGATCTTCTGACAGAGACGTGGACAAACGTCTCACAGGCAGAGACTGAAGTGGATGTTTTACTGTTAGAACCACCAGGACCAGCAGAACCCAAGACCAGAGCTGGTTTCTTAAGATATTCACAAAGAATCACACTGGATCCAAACACAGTAAACAGATATCTGATATTATCTGATGGAAACAGAAGAGCAACATTGACACAACTACAGTCTTATCCTGATCATCCAGACAGATTCACTGGTTGTCTTCAGGTCCTGAGTAGAGAGAGTCTGACTGGACGTTGTTACTGGGAGGTGGAGCGGAGAGGGGACAGGGTTGGTGTAGCAGTCGCATACAAGACTATCAGGAGAGGAGGGAGATCAGAGGATTGTAAATTTGGAGGAAATGACAAATCTTGGAGTTTAGTCTGTTCTAAAGACAGTTATAGATTTGATCACAACAAAGTCTTCACTCCTGTCTCAGGTCCTCCGTCCTCCAGAGTAGGAGTGTACCTGGATCACAGAGCAGGTATTCTGTCCTTCTACAGCGTCTCTGAAACCATGACTCTCCTCCACAGAGTCCAGACCACATTCACTGAACCTCTACATGCTGGACTCTATACTGGAGGCTCTGCTGAGTTTATAGAAGTGAACTAAAGAGAATTTTGAGTCCATCAGACCAAAATCATGGACTGAGATCCTTGAACTCTTGAAATGTTCTGGTTTGTAAATGTTTGTGGATCAGTCTCACCAAAAACTCTGGGTTTAGTTCTTCATTTCAGCTTTTTGATTCTTTTCTAAAGATGCTGATTTGGTCGCAGCTTTAAGGACAGTGATTGTGGAGAACTTTGATTGTTTGTATTTCTCATGTTGAAAAATCTTCATACAGTTTGATATCAACAACATCAAGATGATGGTTTGTTCAAATCACCTTCAGTTGGTGCAGATGTTGAAGGTCTGAGACTTTAGAAAAAAGTGAGGTCAAAATCACAGAAAAAGGACGACCTTATTTCCTGTCCCAAATCCAAGCGTCTAAAGTCTTTCCAGTCGTCCCCAAAAACTCTTCAGATGATCTGTTTCTTTCTCTGTTTGCTGAATATTTGTGTTCATGTGATCGATGGATATTTCTGTCTGCTTCTGTTGGATCAGTGTGTTTGTAAAGACATCTAGAATCAGACTTTGGACAGATCTACATGTTGTTATGAGCTTTTCAATCACTCTAATAATAATAATCACATTTATTAGTCCGACTGTTTGGATGTTTCTGACTCAGCTCAGATTGTGGTCAAGTCTCTGATTGTGGGTAAAAAAATCATAAAAATCCTCAAACTGAGTCACTGAAATCACCTCGTCTGTTTGTCTTTATTGTGTCTGTTTCTGCTGGAGCAGAGAGGGAGGGGAGAGGAGGAGCTGAGGGGAAAACTGGTTTGGAGGGGTCGAGTTTACATTCAAGATTTCTCCTTAAAACTGGAACTAACTCAGATCCTGACTACAACACCTTTAAGACTGATGTAGTGAAGCTTCTGCGTTCATAAGTAAACTGAATAATAAGAGTGTTTGTGTTTTCCTGTCTCACTCTTCGCCCGGTGGCAAAGTGAACATCTAAACACTTCTTCATCAAGTTGAACTCTCTGTTAGTGAAGTGCCCTGAAGATAAACACAGCAGCGTCCCTGTGAGCAGAGGCAGAGCTGAACACTCATGCAGAAGAAGTTCTCCTCTCTCTCCTCCTCTGGAGTCTCAGTGAAGAAGAATTAAAATAAATTTGTTTTTTTTAATTTCTGCTTCACCAACAGCTCAGCGCAGAGGACAGGAGGACAGCAGCGGCGGAGGCGGGTCGTCCTCCAGCGAGGACTCACGGTTAAAGCCAGGATGTGATGATGTTTCTGCTCCGCCCCCTTACCGAAACATTAAAATCAGTTCACTGTAAATATCACTCAGAAGATTCTGGTTCAACAGCCTGAAGAGGTTCTTTGTGCTGAAAAACTACTGATGGGAAACAACACACACACACACACACACACACACACACACACACACACACACACACACACACACACACACACACTCACGAGGGTCCCTCTTGGTTCACACGCAGCTCTATGATAGAGTCACGTCTCGTTCGGCGGTGCAGTATTGCACTGTCAGAGGTGTGTGTGACAGATATTAATGTCGCCGTGGAAACCTGATGGATGGATTTCCTTTATGATGTTCTATCTCCGGCGGCTCGGTCTCCCAAAGCCTGGCATGCAGCAGACAGGCCTTTAATGAGCTCAGGAAACATCCATATCCGCTGACAGCCCTTCCTTCGCCGCCTCTTTGCCTAAAAACGCTCTGATGGGCGCCGCCGCCACCACCGCCACCACAGACTCCCAGGAAACAGTCTATGACAGAAGAACCAGACGTCTGCTTGTACCCGACAACAGGAAACAAATGTTTACGTGAATTATGAATCAGAGAAGCAGCTCAACACGAGTGAGGTTCAATTATAGAGAAGAAGAAGAAGAAGAGCGCTCATACAACCACAGTCGGAAACACTGGAGAGCTAGTTCAGGCGAGCTACTACCGCTGTACTGATCTGTACATGTGTGATTCTGATTGGTTCATCCCTGCAGGGTTAGTTCAGATTTAGTCCTGGAGTAAAACATCCTTTAAACATCATTTTAATCCTGTTTGTTTGATCATAAAAATATGATAAATATTATATTTTTGTTGTTGTCGGTAAAAAGTCGTCACGTTTGAGTCGTTGTTGCTGTTAATCCTAACGTCAGGATATCTTTGATCATTTCTCATTAATTTTAGGGCTGCACCGATCACTATTTTATGGCAGATCACCGATCTTTAAAAAGTTTGACCTGCAGATACCTTTTTTTTTTTTATAAGTGACAACAAAAACCTTTGATGCTCCGATCTTATTTTAATGAAAAACATGAACACTGCAGGCCTGTCTGAGCCTCTTACCAAAATAAAGTTCACAGCAGTATTTTACTTTTACAAATAAAAGAAATCAAAAGGTTTGAGGAAGTTAGTAAAATAATAATCGACAAGACAAACTAAACTGGTGGGCGGGGCCTGTCATTCTGGAAAAACAAACAGCTCCAACGCCCGACTCTCAGACCTTTGCTGAGGTCGAGAAGATCGGAGGATAAAATCGGTTTTATGTGTAAGAATCAGCCGATCACCAGCGCTGATTGATCGGCCGGCGGATTTATTGGTGCATGTTTAATCTGAATTTAACACTTTAGAAGATTCATGAAAATCATTTTTTTTTAATATTTCTGCAGCTGGATGAAAACCTGATCCTCACTGAAGTCTTGATGTTAAATCTTCTTCCAACCATGACAGTGGTGTTAGTTTATACTGTATTAGATAGGAGTCAGTCTGAGCGCTAACAGAGGGTCGAACTGCAGCAGAAACACCTGAGCTCAGGTGTGTTTAAGTACACTGTGATTAATCAGTGATTTTCTGAATCTCCTCCTCCTCCTCCTCTTCATCGCTCCCTCTTGTGTGATATTGTTTCATGTTTATCTCTCTCTCTTTGCCTCTTGTAATTGTTTCCCATCGTTTTGCTCATAATTCACGTTAATTGCTCTGAGTAAACATTGTAAACGGGCGGCTGATAGATGGTGTTGTTAATCAGTACTTAATGAGTATTGTCTGCACTGATTACCTGTCAGTTCAGTAAAAAAACTCACTCATTCACAGATTACTCCCTGAAATACTCCTACAGTACAGACCGGCTCATTCATTCATATCTGGATCTTTTTGGTCACCTGACTGATCCTAAAACTCATTTATTCACGTGTGGAGGACGTCGCTCTGTGGAGGAGGAGGAGGAGGAGGAGGAGGAGAACCAAAGTTAAACAGGAAGGTCTCACATATATATATAACGTGTGTATCCTCTTTGTCTCCTCTGCAGCTCTGATTTTGGCCTCCAGCCTCTTTCTCTCTTCAGTTAATCTGAGCTGACACCTAGTGGTGGAAACAATCGTCAGCCTCTGTCCTCTGTCACTCTCTCTCACCCTCAGGTACTTTATTGATCCCAGTGGGGAAGTTCTCCTCTTGTTCGCCATCCTCAGGGGTGATCACAGGTCAGGATTAATTACACGGCAGTTCCCCTGGAGGGCGGTGTGGGATCGAGCGTCCTGTCGAAGGACAAATCAGCAGGACTCGATGCAGAGAAGACTTGAACTCTGGATCAGCGGTTGAAGGACGAATCCTGCGGGAGAAAAAGGCCCCCGGTGCCCCACCAATCCAGCTTAGGAGACTCCTGGTGATTGCATGTAAATGAGCTGTTCTGATTGGAGCCCACAGGTCATGTGAGGGGTCGGCTCTCACTGGGACACAGATCACTCACTCCACAGCGAATCTCCGAGGTCGACTGTCCTCGTCAAACTTCAGTTTTTAAAGATTTCCTCTTTTTAAAGGGAAATTTTTGATTTGAGACAAACTGAGCAAAGATCGATCTGAGGCTCCAGATACACAGAACCAACAGAACCAGACAGTCTGGACTGGTTTCCAGGACAGACCTGGTTCTGTGCAGACAGGGTCACAGAGTTCACTGTAAGTCAGTCAGAGTTAAAACTCAAACACCGGAGTGAGTTCAGATCTATATTTAGGATTTTTAACTTCATTTTGTGACGTAAAGGCCCCGATCCCACGCCTTTATTTTGGCGGGTCACTCAGTTAAAGGGCTGTTTCGTCTAAAAAAAGGTCTGTGAGAGTCTCATTATTGTAAACGATGATTTTGATTCAGGTTTCTGCTGCTGTCATGAGATACTGTTGTAGATGTGTTGTTATGAACTTCTTTATATTGAAAGTTTCTCAGACTGTGTTCGATGATTCTGTTTTAAAGCTGCTCTCCTGGTACAAACATGTTTGTGCTTTTTTTTTTTTAATCTGCTGGTTCATAATGAATCTGTCACTGAGGATTTCTGCAGAGCAACATGTAAACAAAGGCGTTAAAACAGTCCGATCTCTCTGTTTTTAAAGGGTAACACTGAAGCATCACTTTGACTTTAAGTCTGTTTTGGTCCCGGCTGAGAACTCCTCATTGGACCTTTAATTCCCCTGCTTCATTCATTAGAAAGTGAGGTTACAACTGTCCTCTGTAGAGTTAGTTTCTTTAACCAGGAGGTTAGTGTAGAGGTAATCTAAGCTGCAGATATATAAAGAAAAGGAAATATTCAGTATAAAACAGAATAAACTGAATATTTTGGTTCATATCAGAGGAAACAAAACTCTTCATACTTCTCTCGTAACATTCCCCAAAGAATAAAAAGGAAACATAAACTTAAACTAAACTTACATGAACATCTTTTCACCTGCAGACAGAAGCTCAGAGGTCCGAATGTTGCACCAGAGTTTGTTTCAGCTGAAATCAGATCAAATTATCACTTCAGAAAACTTTATATCAGCACAAACACAACAGAACTGAATCCTGACGGACCACCAAGATCAGGAAATAATCAATAAATCAATCTATCAATGACTCCTGATCAGAGCTCCTCTTTTTCTGCCTCCCTGTCTCAGATTTATGACACGCTGCTGCTTTTCTCCAACAGCAGAGGGCGCTCCAGATCCACAGGAGCTCTGATGTGAGCCTCATGTTCTCCCTGTTCCTGAACATACAGGAGAGTGTCGCAACACAACACAACAACACAACCCTACACACTTACAGACTGAGACTAAAGTCTAGACCTGACTCGGTTTCTGTTGGACTCTGTGGACCTGGAGGAGGACCGTGTGTGTTCAGGATTCAGTCCCAGACCTGAGGACCCTCACACGCTCAGTGGAGGTCACCCGAGCGTACGACCACTTCCTTCCTGCAGGATGTTAACACCTGCATATCTGTCCATCACAGGCCCGACACCTCCACTAGTGAAATCATCCACTTCCTGTGGGCGCCCTCTCCCTCACCTCTCTGCTTTATTGTTCATCTCTGATGTGTGACGGCGTGCAGTCCTGAATGTCCCTGTGCTGACGCATGATTGGTAGAGCCCCCCTGCTGCGCCCGTCTCCTCCAGGAAGTAGGCATTTCTGCCCGGTTCCTGTCTTCCTCGCTGACCCCGCAGTCAATCATGTGCATATTTACAGGCGGAGGAGCGGCGGGAGAGGCGCTTTAAATTCAGATGGAGGCTGAGGCCTAATGGCGGCATTGGAGGGACGGAGATATCTGTTGATTTGTGTTTGATAGTAGCAGGAAGGCGGAGGGGGGGGGGGCAGACAGAGAGAGAGAGAGAGAGAGAGAGAGAGAGAGAGAGACAGAGAGAGAGAGAGAGAGAGAGAGAGAGAGAGAGGGAGAGAGAGAGAGAGAGAGAGACAGAGACAGAGAGAGAGAGAGAGAGAGAGAGAGAGAGCATAAACAGGAGAGTGAGAGCATGATAGGACTTTTTTTTTAGACACTGTAAAAAAGAAAGTTAAAAAAAAAACTGCTGCTCTGCATTTTCAGACAGATTAAAGTCAGCGCTCTCCTTTTTTCCTTTTTCTTTTTTTACAAACATATTTCTTATCTGCTAATTATTGTTAAAATATTTGGATGTTTCTAAACAGACAGGGTTCATCTTCTTCATCTAAAATTTCATCTTTTTCCAACGAGACAGAAATAATGCAGAAAAGACTCGATCAGAGTTTGACCCTTGAAGGGTCACAGACATAGTACTAGACACCAAACATCTTTTTAACTTTGACTCATTTCTTTAGCAAAGAGACTAAACACAACTCACCTACTCTCTTCCAGCAGACGCTTGTTTGTAGAGAGACCTCAGGCCAGTCCATTACAGACTACAGCGGGGTGCCGCAGCTCAAGGAAGAACATTTATGATCATTTCTTTATCATTTCCTTGAAGTAATAATCACCATATTAATCATTTTACAGACACGGTAGTTCTTCTGTCTCAGCGTCTCGGTCTGATTGTATTTCCATGAAGAAATGATCATAAATGTTCTTCCTTGAGCTGCGGCACCCCGCTGTAGTCTGTAATGGACTGGCCTGAGGTCTCTCTACAAACAAGCGTCTGCTGGAAGAGAGTAGGTGAGTTGTGTTTAGTCTCTTTGCTAAAGAAATGAGTCAAAGTTAAAAAGATGTTTGGTGTCTAGTACTATGTCTGTGACCCTGTATGTCCTGTTGATGAAGTTAGGTGCTGTTCTGAGCATTATTTGTGGCTATAGAGTGGCGTTTTGGTTGAGGGCGTGGCTCTCTGTATTTCTATCCTGCGGTCGTTACTAAAGTTGGTATAACTAGAGAAGCAAGCGGTCGGCAACATTCATCTCTGGAGGGGGGGTCTAACTCGGTGTTACGGTGGGTTTGACTCTAAGTTAATTTTACATCGGAATATCCCCTTTTTTTTTTTTTTTGGTGGACTTCAGAGGTCAAACTCTGAGGGGGGCGGAGTTTGCTGAAAAAGCTCCTAGAACTTTAAATCCAACAGGTGTTAGAAAACGGAGACGTAGACGGCGGATGTTTTGAGGAAAGTTTAACCCTGAGGATCAGCCTGCAGACATCACAGTCATGTTTACGGCTGCTGAGATCAAACTTTCTGAGTTTTACCCCAAAAAGACGAAGAAACATCTTCCTTCAGGTTTAGACTAAACCACATAAACTCTTGAAACCCTAAAAGGTTAGAGTCGAGCCTTCATGGCCTCCATCGTCTCCATCCTCTTCTTCTTCTTCTTCTCTGAGCAGCAGAGAGGGAGAGGGTCGAGGCGCTGAGGGTAAATATTTGTTTTGTGGTCTCTCCGTTGAGCTCCGGACCTCTGTGTGCCTCTTAAGAAAACTTTCTCCCGCACGGGAGCGACCAAGGCAAACAATCCCACATCACGCCGTCTGGCTCGCCCCGGACCCTTGTGTGTTTGTTTGTTCAGACAGCCGCCATGACAGACGGAGGAACGCTGAAAAGAAGACATCTGAAGAATGAGAAAGAGCGAAGCAGAGTCTGAGGAGGAGGAGGAGGATGGAGTTGTTCCTGATAGTGAGGAGGACTGATGGAGGAGTCCCACACAGATGGCCTGGTCCTGGTTTTATTCCCAGACGCTTCGCTCTCTGCAGACCCCAGTCCAACAGTGTTTAAAAATAATTCTTAGCATATGTTGAGAGCTGTCGGTGTCAGCAGAAGATAAAGACCCCCCACAGGAGGAACCGGGCTCAGTCTGAGGAGCTTTTTCTCTACGACCCACTTCTTTAACTGGATTTAAGGAAACAGAGACGCTTCAAAAACAACTAAAATAAACTTTTTAAACATTTTAAATGATTTTTACGACATGATCAAGAAGATTTAAAAACAAACTCAAAAGTTTTACATGTCTATATCTGTATGTACATAAATGTTAGAGATGTTCCGATACGGGTTTGACCTCAACTTTGTTTACATGTTCTCCTGAGTTAAAAAAGAACTTTAGGGGAACAATAAAAATTAATCAATAATGTTTGTCTTATTGGTCGACCTTAGTACTATCATAAGAATCAATTCTAGGTCAATTGGTCACATGACAGTGAAGCTATTGAAGGAAAACAGCCTTTTCTGAGAACATCAACCGGTAATTTATTGACGGTCCCTTATTCAACACCGACGTTGACAGTGAGGGTGTCGAGTAGATTTAACCGCGCTGCTGTTGTTATTCCCGGTTATGGAGAGAGAGAAGACACCGGTAGATCCTCAGAGAATGTCCGTCAGATATCCAACCTGAAACTAACTTCACCGCCGTATTTACAGGAAAATATATCCAACCTGAAACTAACTTCACCGCTGTATTTACAGGAAAATATATCCAACCTGAAACTAACTTCACCGCCGTATACACAGGAAAATATATCCAACCTAAAACTAACTTCACCGCCGTATTTACAGGAAAATATATCCAACCTGAAACTAACTTCACCGTATTTACAGGAAAATATATCCAACCTGAAACTAACTTCACCGCCGTATTTACAGGAAAATATATCCAACCTGAAACTAACTTCACCGCCGTATTTACAGGAAAATATATCCAACCTAAAACTAACTTCACCTCCGTATTTACAGGAAAATATATCCAACCTGAAACTAACTTCACCGCAGTATTTACAGGAAAAAATATATCCAACCTGAAACTAACTTCACCGCTGTATTTACAGGAAAATATATCCAACCTGAAACTAACTTCACCGCCGTATTTACAGGAAAATATATCCAACCTAAAACTAACTTCACCGCCGTATTTACAGGAAAATATATCCAACCTAAAACTAACTTCACCGCCGTATTTACAGGAAAATATATCCAACCTAAAACTAACTTCACCGCCGTATTTACAGGAAAATATATCCAACCTGAAACTAACTTCACCGCCGTATTTACAGGAAAATATATCTAACCTGAAACTAACTTCACCGCCGTATTTACAGGAAAATATATCCAACCTAAAACTAACTTCACCGCCGTATTTACAGGAAAATATATCCAACCTAAAACTAACTTCACCGCCGTATTTACAGGAAAATATATCCAACCTGAAACTAACTTCACCGCCGTATTTACAGGAAAACACATTTGTTACCTCAGCTGATTTTTTTTATACACACGTGACCCTGAATACATTTTACAATTTTGCATTAATGTGAGTGAAACGGTCGCACTTTCGAGCCCTGCGATACCAATTTTTCTCTCCCCATACTGATACCTGTGCCGTGGGTATCGGCCAGTACAGAGTACCGATCCGATATCAGTATAATGTTAAAGAGAGATCTTACCAGGCCTGCGTGACTGTGATCTGATTGTCACTGTGGTAAGGTCTGGCTCAGGTTAAACCCAAATAAATACAGAAAATTCAAGCCTTTTATTTTTAGTATTAAAAAAACAGCAAATTAACCAAATAAATCGAGGAAGTGCAGCCACAATATTTTTAAATAAAAAGGGAATTTAAACAGAAAAGAGCTAACAGAGCTAATCAGTAAATAAATGACTAATTTAATAAATTACTTGGTATCAGATCAGTGCCTGGACTCCAGTACTCGCTGATACTGATGTCAGCATTTTTATCAGTATTGGAGAAATTTCTGATATCGTATCAGAACCAGAACAACTCTAATAAATGTCTATCTGCTGCTTCGATAAGGTCTCCATGATCACAGCCTGAAGGTCTGAAGGTCTGAAGGTCTGAAGGTCTGAAGGTCGATCTTCTCTGAGTTTTTCAGATTCATTTTATAACATCAGCTGATCATCAGATTTACTCCTTTTACATCAACATGTTGGATACAGACGAACATCTGAAGACAAGTGTCCATCTGTGTGTGTGTGCGTGTGTGCGTGAGTGTGTGTTTGTGTGTGTGTGTGTGTGTGTGTGTGTAGAGGGGTTTGAAGGAGCAGATCAGAGGATGTTGTAGAGGCTCACTGAGCTCTGGGCTGAGATTAGCTCTCTCTCTCTCTCTGTCACAGAGGAATCAGACTGACCTGGGAGGAGGAGGAGGAGGAGGAGGAGGAGGAGGAATGCCATCAGAGGGACAGATGGATAAGAACTGTTGACCTTCTGACCTTCATCAGACTCTCACTAACACACATGCTAATTCACACGCTGATGATGATGAGGAACAAACGCCCGATCCTTCTTCTTCTTCAGCCTCTTTTCTCTCATTTTACTTCTACAACTTTTCCTCCACAACAACACACTCTATACACACTCAAGGACGTACAACACAGACACATATCAACACACACACAGACACACAGACACACACACACACACACACAGACACACACACCAACATGCAAACCCTCTCTCTCTCCCTCGTGGCGTGCCCTCATGGTGGTCGGTTGCACTTCTAAAGGCTTAATCTGTCAGTCCCTCCTCCCTGGTTAAGAGAACAAAGACCCCTTTCCCCCTCCACAAAGGGAGCTCACACACCCTTACACACACCCCTACACACACCCTTACACACACACCCCTACACACACTCCTTCACACACACTCCTACACACACGTCCGACTCCAGCCCCAGACAGACCACCCATCCTTGAAGACCATCGCCTCGCTCAGGGGAGGCGGAGACACAAACAGCAGAGAGTCCAACAGCTCCAGACATCAAACTCTCTTTTCTGCGTCTTCCTCCACAGAGGTCGTTCACACACTTCCAAGGAGCTTTTTGATTGGACGGGAGAAAAGACGATGGAGAGACACGTTGAGCAGATTTGACCCAAAGGTCTGCTGGGAAATGAGGTCTCAGAGATGAGATCAGGTCACCAGAAAAGACAGACAGTCAGCTAAACACCTGAAGGTCACATGGTGTCATACAGGAGGATGTCAGCCAATCACAAAGTGCCTTATCTGCGCAGGGTGATGTCACAGGGACGCGCCCGTGACCGCCAACCAACAGAGAACCAGTCCAACCACAGCGGCCGCCATATTGGAAATGCTGAACACAGCCTGTCCCCTCCTTATCAGTCCAGTCTGCCGCTCCTCATGACCTTAACCTTTAAATGTGATGAGTTATAGCCCCGCCCCCTGCACAGCATGTAGAGAAAGGAGCTTTGAAGACCAGAACACAATCTGGTACCAGGTTCTTCTCTTATAAAGTATTTGGGCTCTGTGCTTTTGGAGCCAGCCCCCTAGAGGAAACTTTCAGAACTGCGGTTTTTTAACACGTGGTTCTAGATCTATGAGGACAGAGACACGTTAACTTGAATGGTTACGATCAGCTACGATCTGAGGATACGACCTTTTAGTACGTTCAGGATGTGGTGGAGATTGGGGGTTAGAGTTTCAGGTCTTTGGTACCCCCTCATCTTCAGTCTCAGGATTCTGGATCACATGTCCAGGAAACGCCCCCCCCCGTTCATCCTCAGCTGTTCGGTGGAACTTCACCGGCTGATCCACTTGCTGACTGGTTTTGTTATTTCAGCCTCACGGCGGTCTGTGACGGGCTCGTCTTTCTGATAGAATTACAACATTATTCTCCTAAATCCAGGACTTTAATCTCTCAGATTTAGGACCTTCTCTCTCGTCCTCCTGGGTCTCTGGTTTTTCTCATGCAGGACAGTCCTCTGGGACGGCTCCATCCTGCACCATCGGCTGAGGAACTGCATTTGTTTGAGCTGAGCTTTCTTCCCGTTTACTCACAGCCTCTGCCTGGTTGCCAGCTCGATCTCCATAATCCTCAAACAATTATCATATTTGCCTCAGCGGACGACTCAGGTTTTTGTTTACTGATTCAAAATTAACAATTTACACAGCTGGCTTTGTAGCCAACACCTTTCTGAGCTGGCAGCGCTCCATCTGGCACCGGAACAAGACGGCTGATAAAAAATGAAGGAGACACGAGCAAATGAGACTTTGACAAATTGGAAAAATATAGTGATTTTTCAAAAGTGAAATATTTACGGCACAAAAAAATCCAGAGAAGAGACCAAGAGAAGAGTCAGTGGATTAACCTCAGAGGGCGGATCGGAGATCTGAGAGGACGTCTCCTACCACAGCCGTATACTTCTGGAAGAGACGGAAACTTTGGCGTGTTCGGATTCATGAGCCGCCATTTTCTTCCTGGGGTCAACCAGTGAGCAACGATCACCTTCTTGTCTAAACGACAGTAACTGAGGCAAAGTCACAAAGGTCATTAAAGTGAGAGAGAGAGAGAGAGAGAGAGAGAGACAGAGAGAGAGAGAGACAGAGACAGAGAGAGAGAGAGGAGAGAACAGTGACAGTAGTTTGGTTTTGTTTCTGGACTGTTCGAGAGCTGGACTCCTTTTTTTAAGATTATCAACGTGGCGCTTGACTTTATCTCGGCGCTGAAAACTAACTCTACACTTCTGTCAGATTTAAAGGACATTTTCTATCCAGTTACGGACTCACGTTAGACCTGACTCTGTTTGGAGTTGGAGCATTTATTCAGAGTCAGACCTGAAGTGACTGTCGAGGAAAACACGCCCTGTTTATTAAATGTGACTGTTTTCAGTCTCAGGAGGTCGATGTACGGCGAATCAAAGATGGCAGAGAGTCTGAAGACACAACTCCAGGTTCTCTGTCCTCTTGTTTCAGTTATGAATGAACACTCTGGTTGGAGCTTCACTGAATTTCAGGAAAATTCAGACATTTCTGTCTTTTTTTACCTGTTATTGTTCGGTAAGTTCAGGTGAGGAATCATCTTTAATACAGCTGATGGTTCTGAGTCGTAATCTGACCGAAGCTCCGAGTATCGACCATCAGATCTCAGAGATTATGTAAAAACATGCACTGAACTCCAATCCGCTGGACCGAGGAGAGTTTCCAACAGAACATGAAGCTAAAGAGAGAAAAAAAACAGCAAAGAGCCGAAGAACATGCTGGTCCGTCTCACCTTCTCACCTCTCCACCAGATGGAAAAACACTCAGTCTTCACACGTGGACACTCGTGGTTCTGAAATGTCTCTTAGTGCAGCGGCAGAGTTAATGTCCGGTGAGTCACCCTGAGAATGCTGGGTAATTACACTAAAGAAGTCATTGACCTGAAAAGGTTCATGACTGGACATTTGAAATGACCAGCAGCTCCTCCACTTCTCCTCCGCTCCTCCATCCTTTAATCCTTCTCTTTGGAGTTTCTTATTGACTTCTCTCCATCCTCGACATCAGACGATGGTTTCAGAGTGTTCGGTCGGATCTTGACCTTAATGACCTTTTGATTCTGGTCAGACCTCGTCTCAGCATCTACCTGAAGATATCTACATGGTTCATCTTAACGTCAGCGAGAGGACAGTCGGATTATTTTCCTTTGTCTTTCATGATAAATTCAAAATGAATAGGAGAGTGAAACCTACTAATACTCTAGATCCAAATATCCTAGATCTAAATATCCTAGATCTAAATATCCTAGATCCAAATATCCTAGATCTAAATATCCTAGATCTAAATATCCTAGATCTACCCAACTGTTTGAATGTTGATAATTACGGCTCAGGAAAATCCAAACTTCTTGGAGAGCTCCTTCAGCTCGTCTGTATTGTTGCTCTGGTGTTCCTCATCTGTCATCATGAGACCTCAGAGAACCTCTAAGGGGTTCAGGTCAGACCATCTGGCTGGACAATCAGGTACATTAATACCACAGTCAGAAAAACCAGTTCCTGGTGGTTCTGGTCCTGGTCCTGCTGGAAAAGGAAGTCTGTTTCTCTGTAGAGCTTCTCAGCAGATGTAGCATGAAGGTCTCTAAAATCTCCTGGTGGACTTTCAGTTGTGTTAAAGTCATGGTTGACGACTGTAGAGATTGTTAATTATTATGAACCTCGTTTCTATGGCGATCATGGTCCTATGGTGCGATCTCCACAAAGTGAAGAGAAAAAAGAATTCTAAAAAAAAACTGTTTAACCTATCAGTACAGGGCTGCAAAAACATTGACCAATGGGAGCCATCCGTCCTGGACAGCTCCTATTGGTCAATCTTCTGCTCGCCCCACCGCCAACAGTGGGAAGAAAACGCAAGCCGACAGAAGAAAGGGCGGAGTCAAAGATGACATGTGACCAAGCAGGTCATCCTTGGATCGGTGGAGAAAACAGACGCTGAGACAGCAGAGTTTTAGTTGAACA